TGGCTATGTTTATTCCAAGTGGCCAAAACGGGCTTCTCCTCATCTCGCCTCATCCGGTTGAAGAAAGATCTGGGCCGGTTCCATTATGCGCAGGAACATCACATGCAATATCCAGTGAAAATATCAAACATCATACAGAATATACATATAATATATATATATACAACATTATATAATTACTTATTACTTTAATACTCATGACATTTCATGACAACCCACCAATATTGTGCGCCCAATGTCAGATCCAATCTCGCATGTTCTCAGTGGTTTCAGTATGCTTCAGTGTTTTGCCAACTTTGCGCACTAGAACTCAACATGTCGGGCTGCACCATGGAACCAAAATGTCATGGAAGAGTTTGCCTTGTCGCTGCCTTATCCCAGCACCCTAAACATTGGAGGAGATAGATTTGAAAGAGAGTGTGGCTGTGTGGCTCAACTACGCCGAGTTGAAAAGAAGAGAGACAAAAGAAAAGATAAGAAAAGACATGGTGCATGGCTCCCATGTGGCTTGGAGAGCTTCGCCAGCTTGCGCCCTTGCAACCTTTTTGGAGGTGCAATGTGGGGGTCGTCTGGCAGTCTATCGATCTATCGATCGATCTATCTATCTATATCACTCTATATCTATCTATCTATCTACCTAGCTATCTATCTATCTATCTGTCTGTCTGTCTGTCTGTCTGTCTGTCTATCTATCTATCTATCCATCTATCTATCTATCATCTATCTATCCATCCATCTATCTGTATTGTATTATTATGTGTGTTCACCATGGTGCACATCTTTATCGCCAGGGCACTCTTCCATCGCATCCACCACCTGTTGAAGACCTCAATCATGGCTTCGCATGGATGGGACAGGGTTTGCAGGCTTTATCCACATAGATTTCTTCTGGCATTGTCCAACTCGTCCTCCGCAACACCAGCATCCAGCACGGGCTCCCTGCATCCAGCCGCGTCAGCGGGGCGGCCGGCTTGGAGTTGGGCACCTCGGCATGGCCAGCGTTTTTGGGGTTGGAATTTGAGCGCCTCAGCGCTTCAGCCATTCATGTCATGAAACAGAGGAAGCCTGTAGACACAGAAATGCTAGGGCTTTCAAACTTGAAAAGGGCCAGAAAAAGGGATCTCTGGATGTGCACCCCCTCCCAAAGTTGGTTCTGGTGATCCCGTGCTAATGTTGGTGGCCAGACCTGCACATGATGAACCCTGCGTTTCCGACTGCCCAGCGCCAGCCACGTGGAGATCTGCGATTCTGAAGGCTCCTGCAGCCGGAGACCCGCCGCTGTGATGATATTCAGCGAAATGAAGAACTGCTTACAGTATGTTTTTTTGTCCTGGATGGACCTTGTTGCTTTAAGCTGCTTGGGGGTGGAGGCAACGTGTGACCGTGAATGGCCTACCCAACGCAAACAGGTGTTTGTTGCCTTTGGGCTTCCTCATCCGGGCTTCCTCATAGGCCTCGATTCTCATGTGTTCTTACAACAACTAGCACACGACTGGAAGCTTCTCTTTAACTCTTGTTGGTCTGAGTGGTGCGATGGATTGTGCGGTATCTTGCACCAGTTTCTCGGCATCAACATATTGCGTGCATTTCTGGAATGAAGTCTGGCGACATATGTACGCAAGATTAAGCAAGTATTCATATACTCTATGTTATGTGTTTGTTTGATGCATTTGATGGAAGAAATGCAAGCGGCTACACTATCATACAAATGAGTTGACCACTGAAACCCAGTGCGATGGACCACGCATCGGATGCCGAGATCTTTTTTTTGGTGAAAAGTACTCACCCGTTTGGAACTTTTCAGTTCACGTTTCCACGAGTCAGTCTGCTCCTCTCAGGTGTTGATGATCAATTATGGCAAATTGAAGAAAACTGGATGAACGATGTCGGTGGCACCGCTGCCACGCTCCTCTGAGCCCTCAAAGAACTTCTTGATCACGACTGCTCGTTCGAAGCCTCAACATCTCACATCTCGGCAATGATTTCATGACTCGTCACAACGACCTGGGAATCTTCAGCTAGTCAAAAAGAAATATGTTATAAAATAGGTTTGTTACTTTTAGTGTTGGATGCTGATTAGTAATAGGGCCCTCGCCTCTATAATGCTAAATGTTTGAAAAATAGATATTGATACCATGTTTGTTTTAAGGGTTCTCTATTATGCAATTTTTTGGGGTAACCTAATTTGTTATATAATCTGAAAAATAAGAGTTTCAAATCCTGCGGAGGTATGAATACTACTAAGCCAATAGCTGGCTTGCTGAGAGTATTATTGGTAGTCATAGGTTTCTTTGGTTCTTCTAAACTCACAGCTTTCCAAAACCATCAATTCCAAAATCAAACCTTTATATAAAGATTGCTCCTAAACAAATTTTCAACTTAGTAGACCAGGAAGGCCCCTGATCCTCAATAATAATATTGTTTTACGGGTTCTCAATTGTGCAAAGTTTGATCTCATAAAGATAGATCTTACAGTAATACTAAATACTACTACAGTAAGCCAATGGCTGGCTTGCTGAGAGTGTAGTCATAGGTTTCTTTGGCACTTCAAATCTCACAGCTCCCCAAAGCATTCAATTCCTTAATCAAGCCTTTAAACAAAAGTTGATCCTAAACAAATTTTCAAGGTAGTAGACCAGGAAGGCCCCCTGATCCTCAATAACAAATTGTTCTCAATTGTGCAAAGCTTGACCTCAGAAGAATATATAGATCTTAATACTACTAAGCCAATGGCTGGCTTGCTGAGAGTATATTTGCTGAAGATCTGAGACTGCAAAGGAAAAGGATTGCTGAGAATATCCAATGACAAAGAACCCAGATTTGTTTTGGTGGTAGTTTATTATAGTTATTCCTCCATTTGTTTGAGGGGGGGCCCTCTTTACTAATCAAGATCCAACAGTATCTTGCTAAGCTATGTATGCAGCTACTGCTGACAGTTGACTGCCTGGGCTCAGAACAATCGGGAACCTGAGGCCTCTTGCGTTCTTTCTCACATGTACTAAGGCTACTAAGGTGTGCCAGCGTTGTCAGCGCAAAGCGCAGGGGGACCTGGTTGGTCAACCATGTCAACCCCCCCGACTAGGGGCCAAACTCCTGGCCCTTTCTGCTAGCAGAATGTGAACAGTTCAAAGTCGAGTCTCTAGGATTCTAGGGGGAAGATCGGGAAGACCCCCACCAACTCTCCGCCAGCCGCCCTGGGCCAGCCACCCCCGACCGGCCCGCTGTGACCGCTGGGCCAGCAGGCAGGTCAAGGCGAGGTCAGGGGACTGGCGCCTCAAATGAATGGCCTTGGGTTGAGCAACCCACGAAGCGGAGCAGTTTCCATTCAGCTCGGGTATGTGATCTGATCACTTGGGGAAGTAGAGCAATGCAACCAAATTTGTTGGTCACTGGTCGTGCTGGAAATTTGACAAACATGAGTGGACATGAAGAGCAATATCCTGCCATCATGCCGGCCCAGCAGAACCTTCCACAGCCTCCGATTTCATCAAAACAAGCCTGCCCGTTTATCCAACTTCATGCTCCGACAGCACATGACCTGGAGGCCATCGCTATTAGGTTTCACGCCATCGCTACTAGGGTGGAGGCCATCGCTATTAGGTTCCTTCTGCTATTAGTTGGAGGCCATTGCTATTTGGGTGCAGTTGCTCCAACTGCACATGACCTCTCAGAATTTTCACCATTGCCCCTCTTCCGCTTTAAGGCACACACCCCAAGCAGGTGTAAGGCATTGCCCATCTCGCGAGGGATGGGACGCAGCCTTGATGGCCCCAGTCAAAAGAGTGGGAGAAACACGCCCAAACATATCCTGTGAACCGCCGACAATAGCAAACCTGCACCGCCTGATGTAACACATTGCGAATCCATTCCTTTTCATGGGCTCCAGATTCTTGGTTCCTGCACTCATCTGCCAGCTTCAAAGCCTTCTCACCTCAGAATCACTGGTGAGCTATGGACTTAGGATCAATGACTCAAAGGTTAGAAGAGAGCTTATATAATACGTTGAACCATGTTCAACCTACCATGACCTGCTGTGGAAAAACTAAGTCACTGAAATGCAAAGCAATGGAACAAGGGGTGTCCCGTCATTGTTCTAGTACCTTAGTACCTTCATTGTTTAGTGACCCGTCTGCACTACTTGTGAACAAGAGTGAGAATCCTCGGACTTCATGCATCGCAAGTGCGGACGTCATAACGTGTCACGTGTCGATAGGACGTGAGGCGATTTGTGAGGCGATTTGACTGCCGACACAAACAGCATCAAACGGCATACAGCTACTCACTCTCAATACCAAAAATGCACCTGCCGTGCCATGGTATAGAGCTGCCATACATGTCAAGGGTAGACATTCGCATGACGATCTGCTGTCGGTGTTGCATGTTCATTGTGCCATCCAGCGCATTAAATACATCTTCCTCGCCAATCAATCAATCCATCAATCGATCGAACACTTTAACATAGCCAAGTGGTTCGCTCCCCCGTGCGCTTGCATGGTCCACCCCTCTCCAACAGGCATCCTGGCAAAGCTCTTGAGCCTTGACATCATCACCACGAATAAACCAGGCCTCAATGGTGGTCCACGGGGTCTAGCTGAAGCGGGCTTCCCAAGCCCTTCATATGAAGCGAGCTATGAAGTTCATAACTGACTCCCTCGGTTTTCTGAAAAATGCAGGTTATATACAGTAGCCTATTTTTTCCATCGACTGACTGCACATAGGATGAGCCCAATTCAGCTCTTCATGCTACCCCGCCAGGCCTTTGCCGCTGCATAGGCGTCGGCCATGGCACTCTTGTTGCTGGCGTGAAACCTCAAAAAGCGTGGGCCCATGATTGTCCATGAATATCCATGAGACCCAATAAGTTGGCCTGGCCAGACATGGCCAGACTGCCTCCAACGCGTGTGGCTTGTGATGCTTGTGTGATCCATGTCTGTTCATCCGAAAGCAGTGACAAAGGCAAGAATGCGCCTAAGTTTTGCTAGGAGGGGTCATGTTTGGATTCGCGAAGAGTCTGGCGACACATTCACCTTTGCAACTGCAGCGAGTTCGGCCGTTTCTTTGAGCAAGCGCTCCATTTTCATGACGCTGTCCTTCCCTTCCAGGTCACAGCGTCAAGCAAGGTCACCTCAGAAGGCGCACAGCGCACTGGTTCACCAATGCAGGACGGAAGCATAGATATACAAATATCCGCCGACCCCTGCCGATGGATGGGGGAGCGCGCCAGAGGACACTGCCCCATCCGGAGGAAACTGCAGATCTTCTCAGGCGTGAACACGTCTCTCGAGCGCCAGAGTAGTGAGCCTCTGGACTATAATGAATTGTATAGAGGCATACATACATTGAGTCATCATTCAGAGCGCCACCAAATACTTTCCCGGCATTGCAACCCTTCTATAGCAATGTTGAATTCACAGTGATAAACCATGAGTCAATAATGATCTGTCCTTTTGCCTGCCAGGATTTTGCAATATACTTGCAATATGGCCAACATCCAGGCCACAAAATTGTTTATCGTTGTTTTATGTTGCTTCCTTGTGGGCTTCCACTAGGAAAGGCCCATATTGAAAAAATGCAATTAAAGTCCAACATAAAAGCAACCAAAAAATGCACAAAAAAAGGGCTAGGTTGATGCAATCCAAAAAAAATGCACACCAAAGTGCAAAAAATAGCTGGATTGATCCACTGCCGCAAAAAAGGAAGCGCGGACTCCTTCGTGCTCTCTTTCTCTCTCTCTCTCTCTTCTCTCTTTCTTGCTTCTCTCTTTGTTTCTTGATTTTTCTTCTCTTTTCGATCTGTCCGTTGGTACAGGTCAAGTGAGACAGAGAGAAAGCGGGGGTTTGTGTCGGTGGCGGGTTTGAGGTGGGCAGGTAGGCAGCTGGGCAGGTTGCGCTGCGGGGGCGGGGACGGGGACAGGTGGGGAAGGGCTTGGCCTGGCCGGGCGGCTGCGGGGTGGGCAGGGCGGGGACAGGTGGGCGCGTGGGCGGGCGGAGCGGGGGCGGGGTTGCGGACAGGGTGGCGCGGGGACGCGGCTGGGGGGGGGGGGCGCGTGACAGGGGTGGGACAGGCAGACCCTGGGAACCTGTCCAGGCAGCATCTGGGAAGGTAAAATGTGAGGACCTCGAGGATGTCTCGAATGAAATGCAAATAAAAAGCGAAAAATTTGGGATTGCTTGGGCTCTTTTCATCCCAGTGGGTTAAGATTGAACAGCCAATTCTTCTGTTGGTAAGTGGTTGTCACCTCAGAGAGCTTGCACCTGGGGTTGCATTTTTTTTGCATTTTGTTAGGCAGTGTGTGTCTTGTTTGCATTTTTCCTTTGGGTTGGTGTTGCTTTCTTTCACCAATTTTTTGAACCTAGAACAAGCCCAAAAACACATCATAATTGCTGTTTTTAGACAAGTTTGGTGTCAATTGCAAACATGAGACAATAACAAACAGTTATTTTCTCTCAGATCCCTGTTCCTTTTCTTTTTGTTCCTTTGTGTGATAATTCTTGTTTAAATTGTTGCCCATCAAATGTCCCAAACCTTTGGCTAGCCGGCCAACATCCTCAGGTTTCTTTATGCAAACCCTATCAAACAAATGTAAAATTATCTTCAAAGGGTACCCCTTTAGACTCCTACCCCTGCAATTATAAACCAACCTACAATAATCACCCCCCCCCCTGCAGCCCTGTTGGCTTGTTGCTTATGTTGTGCTTTCCATGTTACTTTGAATGTCTCCTATGTTTGTCCTGCCCCTGTTCCCTTTGTTTGAGAGATCTTTCTTTGTTACTCGTTGCCCATCAAATGTCCAAAAACTTTGGCTAGCCAAAAGACTTATATAGGTTTTCTTATGCAAGCCCTATCAAATATATAAATACAAAAATATTATCTTGAAAGGGTACCCCTTTAGACTCCTACCCACTGCAAATATAAACCAGCCTACAATAATCAACCCCCCTGCAGCCCTGCTGGCTTGCTAGTTCTCTGGTGCTGTCCCTTTTGCTTTTAAGTTTTGCTACCTTTGTCCTGCTCCTGTTCCTATTCCTCTTTTTTGTTCTTTTGACAGCACATAAAAGGAACTTGAAAGCAAATGGCCTGGATGTATACAATTGAGATTGAGATTTTTGACCTCCAAAAATAAATAGAGATCTTCTTTTCATAGGGGGTGGCTTACTATTGTTAATCGAACATTAAAGGTCCCTTCACATTTGCTTCAAGGATGTTTCTGTATATTTTGGTTGTCATTTAGTCTATTTCTACCTACCTCAGAACCCAAGACTTTGCCCATTGAATGCGATCCATGCAACTAAGTCCTGCTTGTTGAAAGCATGGCTTGCATGCAGCCATAGTCACCTAAGTTCTGCCCCATGCTGCGGTTGGACATTGCCACTGATCTTGTCTCAGGTTTCATCTAGACATAGTTTCCCAGTTCCTGTGCCATTTGGTGGTTTGTTGGCTTGTCAGCAGGATACTCTTCTTGAAACTCTCTGGCTGTGGCTGATGAGATTCAAGTCCAAGAGTTTCCAGCTTGTTTCTGGTCAAAAGTCTGATTCTCTTTCCAGCAATTTCTTTATTAGTGCCTTCTACAAAAACAAAGGGCCTATATCTGCACAGTTAGGCTGTGGCTACGTGCAGTTTGGCCACGTTGTACTTGGCCAAATTGGCCTTGAATATCTCGACCGCTGCCTTGTAGACGGCCTCAGTCCATGTTCCCTTTTCCCACCGGTGCGACTTATGAACTGCCGCGCGTCCCCCAGCGCGTCTCCCCGCACGTCCCCCCCGGTGTCCAAGTTGTGTTCACAACACTGATGAATGACTGATGCATATAATATGACTTGAATACATCCAACAATAACAAGTCCGAAGCAAGGTGTGCCACCCCAACAGAGCAGCAAACAACCCCAAATTCACCACCAGAGCAGTCTCACATCAGGGCTTCGCCAATATCCTCTTGACCCGGCCCTATCCACCAAAGTGTTTCCACACGGTTGTGCCTAACAAAGGGCCCTGCTCATGAATATCAGCGGATCACAACTGGCGGGGAAAAATAAACAAACAAAAAGGTCAGCATCAGCTACGGCAAGTTTTGGCACATGGTGCACATGAGCACCAGCTATTGGAACGAAATTTTGTCATCAGTTCCCACTCAAATGCAGTCAAGGCCTTGTGCATGAATAGACCGATGATGTGGATGTGATCAACACAATCACAAGGTTTTGACCCCAGTTGAGACGACATCCAAGTGTGCACCCAGCACTGCTGATGATAAAGCAAACCTGCTTGCATGAGAAACACGCGCGGTTGCGTAACCTTCACATGTTCAGATCAACAAACCTGTTTTCAGCCGTCTCCAATCACTTTCACCAGCTGTGTGCACATGCACACAGCACGCATGTAACTACGACTAAACGACTAAAACTGTCACTAAAACGAATATCAGTCATCCAGGCCATTGTCGCCTTCATTGTGTCTCCAAGTGACGTCATCAAAGGGATCCGTGACGTTTTCAGTGTCGTACTTTTCTTCTGCACTCCGTCCATGGAATCCTGACTGGTCGGGACAGTCCTCTCTTCCATGAGTTGCAGGGATACCAATTCTCGTATGCGCTATGCCGTGGCTGTGCGGCGAACAACAGCGTCAAAAAGCACCAGAGCAAGACTCAACCAATCAGTGTCACAATCCAAGTGTCTTGCTTATGGCACGCATCAAACACCTCGAAACACCATGTTTCTCGCTCCTGGACGGGTGTCTTCAAAGTCGGTCGAAAAGCATTTCCCACCGAACATGGTCCGGAATAAGCCTGGGTCACACGAAAAAGGAACTCATAATGCAGGTCGATCTGGCTAACTGTGGCCAACATGAACGAGTTTTCCAATTATATACAATGTTCATGTCAACTATCGTGCCCAAATATAGCAAAGCCTACCCGTGGCTAATTACTGACGTTCGCGGCTGTCCTATCCATGGATCAGCCTGCAGCCTGGACACCTGTATCAACGCTCCGGCTGGAAATGGACAGCTAAACAACAGCTGTGCAAGTGCCTGTTGCGTACATCCACTCGAAACCCAGGTTGGACTTTCCCGAAGCGCCGAACGCGGCACGCTCTCAACGGCGAGGAACACATGGAGAGTTCCCACTGCTCCACCACACCAATGAACACAAAGTCCTTCCAAAGGCAGAAGCGGGCGAGACGATTGCGAACGACCTGAAATTGGTAGCCAAATGCTGTAAGCATCTGGAGTTTGACTAAGTGGATGTCAATGTCTTGTGGAAACCCATGGTAGACCAGTGAATTCCTGTGCGCTAAGTGGTTCTGTTTCATGGGTCTTATGCCCTCATGTGATCTCAAGTGTAAGATGCCAACATATGCCAACCATTCAATCAAGTGCAAAAGTTTTTCCAGAGGGTTATTTGTCGCCCCGTATTTGTTTGGAGTTTCCCTATGTTGGCGTGCAACCAAGATCTTCGGGATCCAATCCCACTCCATCCTGCTGGATGAAACTGGCGGAAGGATAAGGGGGGGCATCAGCGCACACCCTCAGCATGAAACACTGTAATCTAACTAACTGACCAGCGAAACCTAAGCGCTGGGGGTGAGGGATCAAACCAAAAAAATATGATGTTTATACTGGCTTATGTAAAAGGAAAATGCAAGAAATCAAAAAAACACATCCCCAAAGAGCAATGAAAGGAAACAAAGACTCGGGAAAAAACAACAGCAGCAGGGCAACAAAAGGAGCAGGCAGGCCCCCACAGAGCAAACCAAAACACAAAATCCACCTACAAGAAACACAAGGGAACGAAAGGGTGGAAATGCTGGACACAGCAAAGGTGGGCCCCATCACGCACCAAAAGGACAATGAAAGGACGCTTACAACACATATACAACCAAAGAGACTTAGACGAGGGCATGCAATATTTGGTGTGGAGATGTGATGGGTGGCAGGCGCAGGGCGCAGAAGTAGTGCAGATTTCGTGGCGCTGAAGGGGGGTTGGGGGAGGGCACAGCGCCTCCCCAAAAAAAATCAAAAGCCACCAGACTCAGAAGGCACCACAAAATAGATCACCATCGAAAACTACACAACCCATTGCCCCATCAAAGAAATGTTTCCAGAAAGTGCCCCTCTTCCATAGGAAGAAAACCTATAGATCCGTTCTTTTCTCCATGGCCAGGTTGGAACACATCCGCATGCTGACATTGTGCTGTTGGGTCTGTCACGCAATGGCATTGCAATGGAAGCCAGGCTTAAACTGAAGGCCTTTCAAATCAAGCGTTGCCCGAACTTGCCCAAGTTTGCACAACTTGTCGCCATCTGGCCCAACCGCAATCACTGTAAACAACTTGCAAACTCATCAGCCAGAGCCGACAGTTCGGTATAATTGTCAAATGCTTGTGCCAGCTTTCGAGCAAACTTCCAGGGATATGGCTTTACAAGTTTGGATTTCAACTTCACTTTTGGCTCTGACCGCTTCCTCTTCTTGTCGCTGCAGCCCTCCCATGTCACCTGAACCCCCAGCTGCTGGTGGACCATTGTCGAAAAATAAAGATGGCGCCCATCCCCCTACTTGGTCGATCAGCAGGGTTCCACTCACTCGGAATCCATTTCTGTCGCCCACCCTCGCCCAGAGGGAAATGCAACGAGACTAGCGTTGAAGGATCCCAGGGGTTGCAAGTCCTCATACCCCATAGAAACTCGAATGAGGCGTGCCCCAACACGCCCTGCAGCATGCTCAATATATTGCAAAAAACTGGCTTGAGCCTGACTTGGTCTCGATCTTTGAGATGGAAGACCCACACAATGTCGCGCAGCATGTTCCTAAGACATTTGCCCAGCCTGTACTGGCCATGGCATTGAGCCTCGCGCGTTTCACTCGACCAACTTCCAACACCAATCCACAGTTGCGTCCACAAGCTTGATAGTAGGCACCTTCCATTCCAACCCCCCAAAGCAGCTCAGCAATTCAAATCATGGTGAAATTGCCAAGCTCAAGGAACCAGCCTGAATGGAACATGTCGAGCACTGGTCTGAGTTCAGGCACACGCAAAGGAACTGCCGCCACACACTCACACCAATGTCTGCATTGCGAGGGTCTCTGTTACCATGTCTGTGGCTCCATGTCTGTCAGCATGCACATTTTGATGAGAAGGGTAGAGCCATGAAGGATAAGATAGATCAACGGGTGCGCCACACAGGCAAACAATGCCACTGGCAACCGTCCTACCACATAGGGTCCGGCCGTTGTTGTTATACAACAGCCTGAGGTGTAGGTAGGTAGGTAGGTAAGTAGGTGAATAGTAAAGGGGAATGAGTGCAAGAACAGGCAGATTTTTGCCATGACTCAGGTCTACCTTCGAAGCTCGTTCACAGTTCAAACACCAAACGACAAAATTCGCCCGTACCGAAGGTACTGAGGCGTGTGTAGCCGGGTGGCATAGTCAACCGCAAGATTTCAGCTTTAGCTGGGGGGGAGCCATTAATCGGGCAAGAAACCTGAGTTTCTGAAGGTCGTTGAAAATCGAGTGCAAACACGTCGTAAATACAGTAATAGCATTTGATGAAGGTTTTGGGCCATGCAAATGTTGTTTTTCTTGAAGGTTTGGTCAAGAATAGCCAGGTAGTGCCGGCATAAACAAACATCACCGGCTTCATGGTACGGCTCTAGCTGGCTAGGGGGTCATATTAGCCAGGTAGAGCCGGGACGGTGGGACACCACTACAGCTACCACGGCAAACTAGGAAAGCAAACAAAACAGCAGAAAGACTGTACTGTAGCTGGGTTTAGCGGATAGCCCTTCACTCTGACTCATATATGCTTCAATGCCATGCAGGGCTGCCTAATCACCCCAATCTCTCTCTAATATTTCTCCGGTGCGGACGGACCCAGCCGTGTAGCGGCGCGAATCCATACATGGCATGAACGAAACATGCCTGACAAAGACAAAAGCGCCGAGTTCGGCCAAGCACGTCTGCCCCGCCTCCTGGAGTCTTCGAATGGCCTCCTTGACATCATCGTCAGTCAGCAGCACTCCGTCAGTCCAGGCCAGCCAATCTCAGAAAGCTGGAGGCAAATAAGAACAAAGAGCTCGATACAGTTGTCGGGTAAGGGACTCTACTGCTTAGCATCTACTTACGGCTTCTTGTCAGTAAATGAAGCACGGCTCGTACCAGTCGGAGGATTGCTTGGTAATTATATAGGTTAAGATTTGTTTTTGATTCCTTCACCGGCATTGGACGGCTGTAATTGCACAATATGCTTCATAGTCACCCTTAGGCGGACGAACAACTTTGCCTCATGCACAGTATACAGACTGGCTCTAAACAAGTCAAGCACCAAATTTCAAGCAGCAGCAGCAGCAGCAGCAACCCTTGTTCACTCTCTTGTGCGTGCGTCAGCGACCTCTGGCCAGTTCCAGGACCATTTGTTGCCGGGTCTCCCACCCAACGTGTGGCTTCCAACCCTGGGCTACACTGGCTACACATCCAAACCCCGCTGGGTCCTCGGTCCACACACATCCTTTTCCAGCTTAATTAAGGCTTTCTATATCGACGTTTCGAGACGAAGGACGTGCTCCATCCCGAGCCATGACGAGGTGCCAGTTCGCGTCAACTGTGTGGTGAGGACTCCGACCCAGTGTTTGGTGAACCTGAGGCACCGTGACAGTACGGCGACAATTGCAATGCCTGCATGCCTGCCCGGTGTGATACGCTTCTCGTATGCTTCGGCTCAGGCAAAGCCAGATGGGTCCTTATGATCCCTTACGATGCCTACGGCAGTGATCGAGATATTGAGATGTAACAAAAACACGATCTACTAAGCGCAAAGCAATGGGCTACTGTGGGGATAGCCGGATAGCCCACCAGGCTTGAAACCCAAAATACCGTCTGCCACCAAAACTCTCCCATATCACATCATATCTCAGCTTAGTCTTAGAGTTGCTGCTTCTTCGCTCTTGTGACCATTGCACGCTTAACCGGCCGGAGCAGCTTTTCGAACGGCACAGTGTGAGGAAGTGGATCTCCATGCTCATCCTGGCGAGGGCGGGAGGTGGACGGTTACACCTGGTGGAGCTGGTGGTCAGGAAATCATGGCCTCGAGCTCAGGCCTTGGATGATGGAATTGCAGGTACTTCGATTGATACTTTGCAGATGCACGGCCGCAGTGTCAAAGTTGGGACACTTCCCATGGAGTGTTGTGTCTCTTTTGGGGCCATCAACAGGACGCGGGTCCACTCCCTATACAACATGCTCAGAATGCTCATTGGAGCACCCTGCCCAAAAACAGGACGAAGGTGATTTCCATCCGTGATGAGTGAAAACACTCTGAACTGAAGTAAATAATGCTATTTGTTCATGTGTGCATGGGTGTACGTGTGCTTGCTCTCTAACTCCGACCTTAGAGGCTCAAGATGGCTCAAAAACAATGACCCAACCGCAACATGTCGAAACTAGCGGCAAATTCTTTCCCTGTATCCAACAATTTGACGCAATCTAAACTCATCTGATTTCGTATTCAAACAAAGGGTGGGTATTGATTTAGTATATATGTTGTGTCATGTCTTTTATCTTGTTCAGATTTTGCTTTTGCTGCTTTTTTGCTTCCGTCTCGATCGTCCCCAGTAAATTGGCCAGGTCTCGGTCAATCTGAAGCGCGACCATTCTTCGTGCCTTGGGCAGCGCTCCATGAAACCCTGCGTGAACGACCTGCGGCCCTTTTCAACGTGTATTTCTCAAATGGACTCGACTCATGGACGACCTTCAAATAGCTTCAAGCTATCAGCCAGCTTATGGACAAGGAGTTCTTTCATGTTCCTTCTACGTCACTGAGACCGACATTATACCAATGTGCAGCCTTATCAGCCTTCATTTGGAGACATGTCATTCTTCGGAATCTGTCCTGGGATGTGCATTCTGCGGCTAAAGTAATTATCAAACAGGGTGTGTAGGTGGCCAGTTTTTTTTGCACGCCTGTGGAAAGGATTCGGTATGATGCTAGTCTGGATGTCGGGAGCCATGAAAGGAGCAATTCGAATTGTTACACTGACAGGCTACCCCGCACATCACGAGGATATCCTTGCTTGATCTTGCTTGGATTCCAGGATCTGGGGTGGAGCAGGATAGTTGGTCTTCAAGGACTTCACCCAGGCTCACACTTGTCCACAAAGCCCACGGGGGAGCGGTGAGCTCAAACCAAAATCCCCCCCCGAAGACCCTGGGCTCGAATTCCAAGTGTTGGTCTATGTGATGCGATGAGGCTGAATCCCAAAGAGAATCCCCTTCCAGACTGCAGACAAAATCAAGACATGCCTCTCTACTCGCAAGAGTGATGGCTTTCATCTGCAAAAGCAAGACCTGCAGCATCTCCGAACTCCGAACCCCAATTTTTTGAGCCATTGGTTGGTTGGTGACCAAGGATCGAGTCGTTGACAAAGTCGAAGATTGGGTCGTTGTACCCTGCCGCCATACGCTGCACGGGATCTCCTCAGTGGGCACAGGATTCCGCTGCACGGAAACTCTAGGACAGGAGTCGTTTTTTCTTGTTGTTTTGTTTGGGCCTCTCTGAGCGTGTAGCTGTCAATAATTTGAAACTGTACCTTGTAATCTATGTGTTCTATGATGTTCTATTGTGTTCTTATGTGGTTGTTTGGGCTGACGGTTTGATTGGGGAGTTCCTCCGTTTTTATTGGGATGATGTGCTCTGTTAGGGTTTTGACATGGAGTAGCAAATAGCAGGAGTATCTGGTTGCTTTGGCTTGGTTTCGGCAAAGTGTTGGGCGGACAATTAATCTATATACAGGGATTGAATAAATTGAAAAGTGCCAAGTCCGAAAGCTGCTTGCGAGGGTCATGTCCAGGAAAGAACTGTTTGGTTTTTGAATTTTGGTTATGGCTTGGCTTGGTTGGAGGCTTGCTGGAGGGGTTGGGGGGAATGAGCGGAGTCTCCTCAGAACATGGCTTCGGTTTTGATTTGGTTTTGGCTTGGTTTGGTTGAAAGCTGGACAGGGTTGGGGGGGGCTTGGGTATGGTTTGGGTTTGGGCTGGTTGTGGATACTGGCCAGGTAAGCAGCACAGGTAAAACCAGCAGCACTGTAACCTTCCCTTCTTCCCTGCTTCCCTGCTTCCTTGCCCTCCCTCCCACCCTCCCTCCCTCCCTCCCTCCCGCCCGCCTGTGTGCTTGCTTGCTTGCTTGCTTCTGTGCACTTCTTCAGCGGGAAACACATCCAAAAACAAAACAAACGGACAAACGTTAAAAGAACAAACACGAATGCCATTTGTTTGGCTGATTTTTCAGACGGGTCACGCACCATGGTCACCAAATGGCCCCGATAGGGATTGATCGCGTTTCCCCCAAAGGCCTCGTGCTTCCACATTGGCGGGTTGCCTTGGCCGAGCATCACAAAACACCCGACACGCACACAAACTGGAGTTGGGCTGAACGGGTTCAGCCACTGGCAATGTCTTTGCTTTGTGATTCTTTTTAACAACCCAGTCTCTCTTTTCAGAGTGGGCTGTGGAAAAGTTCATGTCTGACCGGTAAACACGGTGGTTGGCAGGCCGCAGCAGGTTGAGGACGCTGGTGGCCAAGTTGCAGGAGAACATCTTCTGGTCACAGATCTCGGGACACAGCTGCCAAAAACTCAGCTGAAGCGGGCTGAAGCGAAAGGATGCAGGCAGAAACGCAATGGTTTGTCATGCTGTCAAGTGTCTGGATTTGCCATGTCCGACTGTTACGGTTTCGAAGTTAGTTTTCCTGCTCTTGCTCTGCCAACATCCCAAGGCCGAACGACATTAAGTGCCTGCTGATAATTAGAACTACTATCAGCACTACTATTAAATATATATTAACTACTGCATCTCTACGCTGCAAGCGCCAGTCCTCAACACCTGGGCTGGTCTTAATATTGAAGCGCCCGCGCACATGACTTGCATCACGTACAGTAATCCACATTCAGGCTACATGATGCTGATGTCGTATTGAATTTCGTACTGCCGTGTAATGCCACCATAAGGCTCTGGACACGCAAGCACGCGCATCTCTTTCTGCCCAAGCCCCAAGGCCCCATTTTGGACCGATCACCAGTCTTCAAACGCGATGTGTCGCACATGTCAGGGCACTGAACGTCAAAGTACTCCCCGAAGTTCGAGGGGCCCAAGGAGACAGTGTTGGGCAAGCCAGGGCACATGCCAGGTGTATGTGCCTGGGATGATAGCCCATGAAAAAAACGATCCAATGGACATGTGGCGAATGAGACTCACTTGAGGAAAAATGTCTTTCTCTCTGTCAGTGGTGGATCCATTTCACTATGGCACAGCCTGCTGAAATCCAACAACACGCTAGCTTTTGCAAGGTCATGATTTGCACGCAAAAGATTCCACCAGGCCCATCGATGATCATCGATGCATGTGTTCCTCTTCATCACAAGTGCTGTTACAGTTCCAAACGTGAAACATCACCAACAAGGACCAAGCTTGGCCATGTTGTCCCAGCTCTCTCATGCAAGCTGAACATCGCGACCTTGATAAAGGACCAGGCACCAAGGCATTCGAGAAGGAGCTTCCGCACCTGAGTGCAAAATAAATAGATATAGAGTCGCGAAGCAACTGTATTGGGTACCGGTAAGATGGGAGCCCTTCTGTCCAAAGGCACCGCTGGCGCAGCTTGGGGGAGGCCCTAAAGACTCCGACCCAAGTGATGAAGGACATATTCATCTACGAATGCATACAGTATGCATCCAGTCCCCTCAAATCAAAGGTCGTTCAAAACAATCAAGATGCCCGAAATGCCCAACGAGCATTGTATTTATAACATACTTAACTTTATCTGATTATATAACCTCCCATGGCGGGCATATGTTGCCCAATGTTCATGACGCCAAACAAAGGCAAACCTGTTGCGATACTAGACTGACGGATACTTCAGGAACGTCACTGAGCCATACTATGAAGTTTGTTAGGCCAAATAGGCTCATGTGACAAGCTGCAAGCCCATGCAGGTACAATTTGTTCACCACCGGCTGGTGATAATGACTAATAATGAAGAATAATGGATGATTAAACACCACCTGAGCTGTTTTGAACGTCTTATATCCCGGCACCAAACAAGGCAACGCTTACGCAGCGTCTTACGTTTTGCTTACACGCGCACAGTTTTGCTTACGCGGAATAAACCGGCTTACGCAGACCTTACGCTGGACATTTTTAGTACCCGGCCACAGCCCCAGCTTACGCGCAGCAACTTTTACCTGCAGGAACCGCAGCGTTTCTAGGCAGCATCAAGCAGTAGAAGATGATGACGTGGACGAAGAAGATGAAACCGATGAAGACGCAGCAACAGAAGAAACTCGCAGATGACGAAGTTGACGACGACGCTTCTTGGCAGCACCTCTGCTGAGCGCGTGGGCATGACAGACAGACTGGGCACCACTGATAGCGGACAGGCCAGGAAGGACAGATTGACATCTAGAGAAAGCCTTGTTCAGCAAGAGGTGTGCTTCATCCAGAGAAGGGCAATGTTGTTCCAAAATGTCCGAGACTGTCTTTGCGACAAGTCGCTGGCGCTCTGCACCAAGTTGCGAAAATGATTTGTGTTTGGGAGACATGGGCAACTACTGGCAAAAGCAGCTTTGGCTTACGCGCCGCTTACGCGGACCTTACGCGGATTTTGGCTTCCAACCCGGAAACAAAGTTTGGAGGTGAAGGTCTTGAAAAAGGTATGACACTATGGGCACATTGCAGTGTTGCTGTTTCCATCCGATAGTACAGTGCAGTTGTTAAAACTCCTTGTCTTGGTGGACAATCCTTTTCATTGCGGGCTTTATCATGATTTCGTTTTCCATGCAATTCAATCTTGCAGAATCATCAGAATCACATTCAACCTGCAGCATGGAGCTTGCCGCCACTTGAGAAAACAAATATCCAGCAACCTGACAGTGATCCCACGGATGTATGTTAAGCTGTAAGCTTGGAATACAAAAGGTTCTTGGTCCAAAACTGCCATTTCACAAATCACGAAAAATCTCTTACGCCAACAACATTGGCTACAATTGCTTACGCGGGGCTTACGCCCACCAGTGTTTTGCTTACGCCACAGGATGCCACAGGTCCTTACAAGGATCTCCTTACTTGACATGACAACTGAGGTTTAAAACGTGGCTCACCTGCAGTCTATTCCAGGGAGTTGCAGGCTCTGTGCCTTTTCGGCCCCTTCGAGAAGGGCGATACAAGAAGTCTGAAGCTCCTCACTCTGATGCTGCCGCGGCACTTGGGGGTGTGCATGAATTTCAGCGGTGCAACCGCCTGACCCAAAGCAGCGCAGTGACTACCCGTGAGACCCTGGCCAAAAGAAAGGGTGAGAATGACAGAACCTAACCAAAAATCCAACACTGCCAGTTTCACAAAGAAACATTGTAACATTGACAACTAAAGGCCCAGAATTGGGAACATCGACCTATATGTAGGAAACAAAACCAACTCTGCTAATAGCATCTACAGCTACGAAAAAAGTAAAAAACCGTTGATATACCCAATCAATTTAGAGTTTAGAAGTGAACATGAGCACACAGACCTGAAGAATAGACCTTGAGAAAATATCTGTTGGGTGAGGTGGCTAGGGTGAGGAACCACCTAACTGAACATCAGCGGCCGTACTTCACACGCAAGCACAAGCAGCTCCGTCCTTCCATCGAAGTTGTGTGATGTGAGATGCGTGAGGTCCTCTAGAGATTTCTCGGAACATCCAACATACTTCTAGACATGCAGGTCATGGAGCACCGGCCTCTAAAAAGGGGCTGGCTTTCTGGGGTGGCCCGGCGGGTGTTGGGTGTCTTCTTGAGTGGTAAGCCATGATAAACTAAGCTCATAATATATGTGCTAATATATGGCGAGTGATAACTAAGCTCATGGTGAGTGGTAATATATTTGCCCCAAAAAATCAACCGCACCTGCAAGAGTTCGGTGCCATTGGCTTCAAACGACAGCACAGATGCAGGAGCTTTTTGCCGCACCACATTGTGCTGCAAGAGAGACTTCGAAGGCTCCTGAAAAAATCAGCAAATCGCTGGGGCAGTACGGTTGGTCGTTCCAATGATGGATGATGGAGGTTGGTAGCTGAAAGGGCTTAGGAAGTGTATCGGTATATATACTGTAGTATATGCTTGCACTTATACTTGCCTGCCAGTCCTGGGTTATTGACTTCAGTGGTCTATCGACGTTTGTTTAAGGAGTGAGGCCGGTTCCATCGTCATGAAGTTCCTTAACAAACCCAAGACCATTCCAAGAGCAGCGACCCCGCTCCTGAGCAAACTCTGCACTGTCAGACACACTGACAGAGAGGTCAGCTAGCGAGGATTTGGCCAGCGACAGTGCACAAAGAACACTGATCATCATACGGAGCAGGGAGCACAAATTGGAAAGCCACAAGTCGCATGCAGGATGGGGGAGCATCAGCAAGTTGGTTGTGATATGAACTGCCAAACAAACTATGTGGATCTAACAGGTCCCCAAATCTGGTTCGAACAGGTCCCGAAATCTGGTTCTTTGGCATCGCGTGCGTGGGAGAACAACATGCACCACCTTGATTGCCAAACAGTCTCTAAGCATGTGCAAGTTCCAGGACGAAGCTCAAGATGAAGGGTTTACCACCTTGAGCCAAGATCTGCGGCACTTGATGATGCTGTGCGAGACTTGGTGGGTACCTCCACGACCGTCCACGAGTCCACCAATTATCCTTTCTTTGCTCTTTCTCCATCCACAGGTACACTTCCACGGTGCCCCACACCACCTCCGGGCTTGCCCGACCACAGCCACTGACAGTTGACAAGCAAGCTGCACAAAGGCCCAAGCTGGGCAACATGACTTACCCCCAAAATGTCAGCTACATGTTTAAGGTGAAGGGGGTGAAGGGATTTGGCAACGGGATAACCTCGCCGGATAACCTCAGATAACCTCGGAAGATCCTCTCTCTCACTCAGACCGCTAGTCTAGTGGACTCTCTGTGCTAGGCTGACGGCCATGGTTTAACCAGTAGCTCTCCCCGCACCGAGATGTGGACGGCCTGGCCGAAAAAGTTCTCGTTCTACCGCGGCTACGCTACACTATATGAGAGAAACTTGACCAATGCCTACCAGTTTCGTGACTATTTCCGGCTTCTCCTCGCGCATGGGCTCCGAGGGAAAGAAAAATCATGTGCCCAAATCGCTCAATGACGAGGATGCACAAATACGTTACACACTTTTCAGTGAGCGGGCGTGTGCAGAAGGGCAAAGCATCCCACGACACTCCGGCTTCTGTCAACTCGTGTTGCCACGCATGCCAAACCATGCTCCTTCAGTTTTGAACCCTGCCTGCGAGCCATCCTCGCGCTGGAATGGCCTCGGATCGAAGATTGGAGCATGGAGAACCCACAGGACCTGGGCTTTGAACCGTACATGTCCCTCTTGGTGAGAATCTGTCTTTGCCAATACGGTGGTCTGGTTTGATGTGTCTATGTTAAGTCTACTAAATAGTCTTTGCCCGATTGGGAGCAGGGACCCCATACCATACCTCTTCCTAGATACATTGAGCGCACCCAAGCTGCAAACATCTACACATTCCTAAATCAGATGTTGACTTGAAGTGGATTGGGAGCACTTGATCACAGGAGTGACCCACCTGTCCCAAGCGCAAAATTAAGAAGTTCCAAAATCAACTGCAACATTGGGAGATTCGCTTACTAGTAGTAACAAGGACGCTACTAGCAACAAAGTCTCTCTGAAACAGACCCTGCAGGGCCGCATTTGTGCTCAGAGTAACAACAGGAATTCTTTACGTTTCTGAGAAACATATGTTGCAAAACAGCCATAAAGTGGTTGAACTCCCGCAACACATGTGAGCTACCCTTCAGAGGGGTCCCTTTCGATGTCTCTTGGTCCGCTTGTCGCCACCAACAGCTGAACCCCACCAGTCACCACTGGACACCGGGAGCCCCACTGGCCCTCGCATCGGAGCGTCACGTCGCAGCAAAACCTCGGTCACGGGTCCGGTCCCGCCAACGGTCCGTCGTTTAGACGCATCGGCGGGCCGGGCGGCACGAATCAGAACGCCAACGAAAAACAATTGGATGTCTATGGCATGGAGTCTATTGGCCTTAAACAAACTGGCTAGGTACTGCAGGCATTCACTGATACAGTCTATACATGGACCATACTGTGTTGGTTGGACCCCCCCGACCCAAGTTCGCTCAACTATATTGATATATATATATATATGTATTATATATATATAACGGTTGGTGATGCCGCGACTGCGGTGAGTCAATCAGCTGGTCCTTGCTCAATGTGCAAATTCATTCAACGGCATTACATGACAAGCAATGAGTGCACCATGTTCAAGTTCATTAGCAGTGAAGGTTTATTTTTCTAACTCTACGACTCTACGACAAACAACGCAATCTTAGACACAATCCCTGCTGAACCATACAGTGCCTGTGATAGAACAGGCCCGGGCCAACTACAGGCAAACCTACCAGCGTGGAAGCTTCAAGAGCTTGTTGTTGATGGCCAAACTTCACCACTTTCTGCGCTCGCTGATGGTTGATGCCCCGCAACGACTTGGCACATCTGCCATAGTGGCGCTTCGCGCTTCTTTGTACAGCTGCAGGATGTGAAAAGGATTGGCCGATCACTTCAATGATGAGAAAGCAGCCTGTGACAGCAGGCTGGACTAACTATGCGAGACCTTTCAAAGTTCATAATGTTCATGAAGGTTCGAAACGAACATGGCCACCCCCAAGACACTTGCACCGCAAGAACAGGTCTTGGCATTGGGCATTGCAATGCCAAAAGCCTACTTGTGAAGGGCTGTTGTTTGCAGCACCCTGCTGATTCTCCAGCTAGGAGTTCTTCTTGACAAGCTCAATTAGGTCGTGAATTGAGGCCCACTCACTGTCGGGTGACAAGGACTTGATGTGAGCGGCGTACTCCGGGTAATCTTCCTGCCAAAGGGTGAACCTCAAATGATCCAGTTTCACTGCAGCTGAGCAGCTGAAAACAGAGTCACTCAGTCCAAGCTCTCTGAAGGGCTGGTGAATCCTGACTCTTATTATTGAATTAGCAGTAATAAACCACGAGTCCATAATAATCAGCTGTTGTTCATCGGGGAGGGGGGGTTACTATTGCTAATCGAACAATAATTACATATTACCACACTCAATTCCGGATGTCTCATGAGCTGTCTTTGTGCACCAAGGACCCATCATCGCTACCTCTATCCATGGCAGCATGACAGGGATTCTTATGATTTTTTGGGGGAGTCAACCGGTGCCCGCGCACAAAACCCGCTGAGACTCGCAGCTTGCTTGAAGCAAACCAAACGTCTACCCTCCTCTCAGCTATGTCAGGTCGTAGCAATGGATACAAACAAAACGCTGGAATAGCAGTGTTTTCCCCGTGTCGAAAAGCTATGGCGGCAACAGTGCCAGGTCACTGATCCGGCGCAGAGTCATTCAGCAGGAGCAGCTCTACCTCCTCCATGTCTCGGATGCCTCTTTGTGGCACCGTTGGCCCAGCTGCGGCAGGCTTGATCTTGTTCAAAGCATGAGTCTCCCAATCGAGCAGCAGTGAGAGGGGATAGTTCCACAATTCGTTAATAGATATATATATATATATAGTGCAATATAGTGCACATATACACTATAGTATAAATTAACATAATTCACAACAGTCAGAGGCGTGAAATAAATTCAACGGAGCACCAGCTCAAGTACAAGTCCTACAAACCCGCAGCTGCATTGGCCAACTGCAAGCACCCCTCTTAATGCCCAGCCATCTACCGAGCTTCCCAGGGAGGACGTGCAACACATGTTTGGAAAGGGATATGGAAGGTTAAACGGTTCGACCCCTGTCTTGAATTACAACTTCCCTCAATCACTATCTATCTTTCTGTCTGTCTGTCTATCTATCTATCTCTCTCCTTTCTCTCACGCTGCCTCGACATGGG